AGTGTTCTGTCCTTGCTTCGCCTGCATTACATTCACAATGCTGAAGTCTCGCAGCAACTTACTGGTCAGCTCTTGTCTTTCTTGTGCACGTCGCAATGCCACACCGCGGCACGCCGCTTCCAGAGGCAAACTGTTGCGCCCTAGTTCCCTGGACTGCCAAAACAATCGGTTCTCACGCACCTCTTCGAAAAACCTACAAAGACAATCTCCTACTTCCAAAGGACCATAGCAGACTCCTAACTCTTCACGATACTTCTGGACACATGGCTGCAAGCCACTCATCACAGCAGGAGGGGTACGATACATCTTCTTAGTACCATCTCTGAACACACGTTCCAGTCTCTGTTGAACAACACGATTTTGCGCCTGAACTGTCGCACGGCCAAGGGATGCATCAGATGTTCGCTCAATTCCAATGGCAATGCGATCCCATGTCATGAAGGTTTTCATTCTATCCCACACGATGTTGTATTTATCAATAAAGTTTTCTTGCCGGCTGATTGCCGCAACGATTTGTTCTTTCAGCGCTTCACATTCTTCAGCAGACAGGGGTTTGGTTTCCAGTGTGTGACACGAAGCGCCGGGATCCATTCCATGGCCCTTGAACAACTCCGCATGCGTGCGCAACATTTCTGTGTTGCGACAACGCCATCGGAGACACTTGGCTTCTTTCTGCCTGGAGGCACTGTTTCGAATTTCTAGCATGGGAAACACAAGTCTTGGGGCAAAGGGAACCAAAATTGCAAAGACAGCAGCCACTGTCGCATTATGGCTCGGACAAACCAGCCAACAGGTAGCGAACGATAGCATCTTGCACCACGAGCAATGCAAATTCCCTAAGGTGCACAAAAGACACCCCACGCTGAGACGACCGTACTCCGAATTACCGCCACACAACAACCAGAACAACGCAAACAGCAGCAGTCTAACTAAACGATATTCTTGCCAAACATGTTGCCATACAAGCAGTCCAGAGCACATGCGCAGCGCACCTGCAAGAACCACACTGCAAACATAATGCCACCCTTCCTGTATACGGATCTTGCAGCTGACTGGCCGGAAGATGGAACAGAACATCATGCGCATCATTTTTTTGTTTTTTCTGCCTTTGATGCAACTGATATTCCAAGGCTTCGGCTTTCTGAACCCCGAACTAGCACAAGTCGGCTCAACTGCGGCTGCTCTGTCACACATCTGATGCGTCAGCATCCTTTTGCTTGCGGCATAGGACACGCTTGCTCCGAGCATCCACACAAAATAAAAATGCCACAAAGACAAGGCCATTCCATACATACAAGGAAAAAGTAACACAGCACTGATACAGAAAATGCTTCTCTGCAATGATTGTCTTCGAAGCGATTTCATTCGAAGAGACCACAAACCCATACAGCACATGTAAAGTAGGAAGGCGAAAAGCCCGGTAGGCTTTGCAACCTCTGGGTTCCTTGCGATTCCCTCAGCAGCCATCTCCAACCCGTGAAAAGCAACAACGGCGTTGGAAGACATGAAGCACGCCCAGTGTAGACCACAAGCCAAAAGCAGCAAGGCCGCATGTATCCCAGCAAACATCGCCACACTGTGCACGCCGGCGCCAGACGAAAGCTGCGCCTGGCATCACAGCCGGATCGGACTGCAATCTTGACTAAAATTAAGAGACCAAACAAAACAGACAATTTCTTTTAGTCATTCGAGACCAAATGACATACACTCCAAACTGCCGCAGAGACTGGTGAACCCCGTGACTTCCCCTAGCAACTGTCCTTCGCTGCAGCTTTCCGCCCGCCACTAGCAGCTCGCCCTGCCCAAAAGCAGTTGAAGCCCACGCTGCGTACGAGCCCTGCGACATGTACCTGGCAAAGCGACAGACGAAATCATTTGTGAACAACCCGCTAATCACACTGTATTCAGCACGCGTCACCTGCGCACTCCAGTAGTACACAGTCCATCCGTCAGCATTCAGCATCTGCTGCGATTTCGTCTACTCTAAAACCTAGACATGTCCATGCCCTCTCACAAAACTCAACCAAGCTATCACAATCATTTCATCTGCAGAGACGCGTTCATGATGACTTTGTGTCTATCATGCCTCCTCTACTATCAGTTGCCGCTCTATTTCTTATACAGCCACAGACCCATCAGACCGCCCTGCCACAAAAGCAGTTAAGTCTTAAGATGCGATCCGCCGCTAGAAGCTCGCTCCGCCCAAAAGCAGTTGGAGCCCACTCTGCCTGCTTCACACTACCAACAGTTCCCAGAACCGCTCAGAATTCTTCTCCTTCATGAGTCTTCCGCATCTTCAACCGCTTGGCAGATCGTTGCTGTGCAAACAATTCTTCAATCTCCTGAGTCCTTGCTTTGGTCTCTGCCATTCCTGTTGTTCGAAGAGACCACAAACCTATACAGCACATGTAAAGTAGGAAGGCGAAAAGCCCGGTAGGCTTTGCAACTGCTGAGGGAATCGCAAGGAAGTTCCTTGCGATTCCCTCAGCAGCCATCTCCAACCCGTGAAAAGCCACAACGGCGTTGGAAGCATTCAGCATCTGCTGCGATTTCGTTGTTGCGAACATTTTCTTCCCAACGTTGACTCTCTTCCAGCTGTAGACAATGAAATCTCCAATCTCGAAGAAGGGCCTTCCCTCAGCACAAGCGCCTTCTATGTTTCATTGCGCCACAGCTGGAAGATCCAGCTGTGACGCAATGAAATCTCCAATCTCGAAGAAGGGCCTTCCCTCAGCACAAGCGCCTTCTATGCTCGATCTATGCGACAATTTCAACGTCTACAGCAAACAAAAGCTGCGCAAATTTCACAGTGTCATCCCAACTCGTGACACCAAATGGCCATGATCTCTTTGCCATGGCTCTTGAAACACAAGACCTTCCCAGTCAAAACCAGTTCAGTCCCAATTTCACAGTGTCATCCCAGCTCGTGACACCAAATGGCCATGATCTCTTTGCCATGGCTCTTGAAACACAAGACCTTCCCGGTCAAAACCAGTTCAGTCCCAATGTGTTCAAACTTCCCAAGTGCAAAAAGACAGTGTCCATCTTGCAGTGTCAAGCGACATCTAAATATCTAGATCGTATGTAACTTCTCCACTCTTTCTCACTGAAACATTTCGAAGAGATACACCTACTACATTTATATTCTCAAGCGTTTCATCTCCCTATCCTTTGAGCACCATTATCTTATTCACGTTTCTGCTTGTGCTTGAGCTCGCCTCGGCTGTTGCGCAAGGTCCCAAAGCACAAGCTGCTTTCCAAATCACTTACCCAACACTTACTGGCCAATGTGCTTACTTCCACTCAAACTCCTCGCCTGCGCAGCACTCGCAGATTGGTCACCCTCTGCCATCACCTGCCAAGCAAACAAAAACACGCAAGAAGACACTACTGATCACATAACCTCCTCCTGCTGAATGCTTCTATGATGATGTCCATCCTGCCTCTGGCCCGCGATCGAGTAGATGAGGGCGCAAATGCTCCAGCAAATGTTCCGATGTCACATATCCACCATGCTACCATAGCTGTGATACACAATAGAAACTCTGTGTGATGTTGACTGTCTCAAGCATCAATCCAGCATGAGATCCCTTCAAGTAATTTGTAGTAACTTGCTGTAAGATGTTGCCTGTCTCAAGCGTCTTTGCAAACAGCTCCAAAGGTACAGAAATGGAAATGTCTCTGTCCACCCCAGTGACTCTGTCATCTGTTCAAACTGATTGCTTCAAACTTTGCCACCCGCAAAGTCAATAGTGGCATTGCCCCGATCACACTACCACACACCTGCAAGTTCGCAAGTAATATATCACATACTTGTCTGACATTCTTTCTAACTTTCTTCTGCACATTCTTTGTCCCATATCTTCCTACATGAGGTCCGGCAGGGGAAGATTTGCCAGGTAGAATGCCATAAAATATGCCAGAAGATATGCCAGATAGATATGCCAGAAGATATTCCAGAAGATATGCCAGATAGAATGCCAGATAGAATGCCAGAAGGTATGCCAGATAGAATGCCAGAAGATATGCCAGATATAATGCCAGAAGATCTGCCATATAGAATGCCAGAAGATATGCCAGATAGAATGTCAGATAGAATGCCAGAAGATATGCCAGATAGAATGCCAGAAGATATGCCAGATAGAATGCCAGAAGATATGCCAGATAGAATGCCAGAAGATAGAATGCCAGAAAATATGCCAGAAGATATGCCAGATAGATATGCCAGAAGAAATGCCAGAAGATATGCCAGATAGAATGCCAGAAGATATGTCAGAATATATGCCAGAAAGATATGCCAGATAGAATGCCAGAAGATATGTCAGATAGAATGCCAGAAGATATGCCAGATAGAATGCCAGAAGATTTGCCAGATATGCCGATATCAGAAGATTTTGCCAATAGATGCCAGAAGATATGCCAGGGAACAGTTGGCATGGTACTCGCGGTTGAGGTCCGGCAGGGAACACTGGGCGCGGATGGTCGTGGTTGAGGTCCGGCAGGGAACACTGGGCGCGGATGGTCGTGGTTGAGGTCCGGCAGGGAACACTGGGCGTGGATGGTCGTGGTTGAGGTCCGGCAGGGAACACTGGGCGTGGGTGGTCGTGGTTGAGGTCCGGCAGGGAACACTGGGCGTGGGTGGTCGTGGTTGAGGTCCGGCAGAGAACACTGTGGATCGCGGGTCGCAGTTGAGCCAGGACGACGAGGACGACGAGGACGACAAGGACGACAAGGATGACAAGGAGGACGAGGAGGAGGAGGAGAGGAGGACGAGGCAGGAGGCGGAGGAGAAGGAGGAGGCAACTGACATAAAATCTAACAACCCTCACCTGGCAGGTGGGGAATAAAAAATGTTCCAAATCACCAACCAGATATTGTAAAGCCTACTTTTAAGATCGAACCCCAGCCCTAACCTTGGACCGCAAAGAAACTTAAACTGAAAGGGTCCATGTCCAGCGGCCTTCCGTGGTGGTTTCGCAGCTAGCCTTCAACCAGGGCACTGGCACCGCGGCGCGGCATTTCCACCGCGTCGGGATCAAAGGTGATCTTGTGCCACAAGAGGATCTGGCCTCGTCACCGAAATCTTGGAGGATCGATCTGGCAGGATATGAAGAAATACCGACAACAATAGTAATGTCAACCCCGGATTTTGCTAAACCATGGTTTATGACAATTAGGGGGGTACTCCTCCAATAGTCATTTCATCTAATACTTTTTAATGCTACTCTCCCAATTAGTCACAGCCGTAAACAGGGGTTTATTCATCCAGGGTTGACATTAATGATGCTGGTTTATCAATAATTACTCATGATATCAGGTTCTTTGAGTTGGGTTGGTTTCATGGAGCTACAAATAAGATCAACAAGCCTGCTTTGGTGCTTCACCCCCCGTTATCAGTTGGTTTATAACCCCAAGTAACGAGAGTTACAATGCGATATACCGTATTTGTGGCCGAGAAACGTCAACTTAGGTTTTTAGGTCAGGGCAAAAGATGCCCCCGGGACAATTATTGGATAGGCACCGTAAGGACAAATGATAATAGTGTTGATAGTATCAATCATACGAGTACTAATATATAATAATTGCAACAATTTTATGATGCAGATTTAAACGCGTAATAGTAATATCAACAAATAATCACAATCGTCATAATTGCGAAACACATCCACAGATTCTGACAACAGTGACGTGTCATCCTCGCACGGTGAACAACATTTTTCCTGGTAAGTTAATTGTCTCTCAAAAAGTCTCATCAGTTTCCTCTCTATGCATGGCCAATGACTTTATGCGTCATAGGATGTCTCAGGGTTCGTGTCGTTTGCTGTCATGGTTCAACTGTTGCTACCCTCTGGTAAACGTTTACATAACGACCTGGAAAATCACCATGTTTAATGGGAAAACTCACTATTTCCATGGCCATTTTCAATAGCTTTTTGTATGTTTACCAGGCCGGGTATATTCCATTAATATCCCATTGAATCACTATAAAATCCCATTCAATCCCTTTAAATCCCATGAAATCACTAGGGGATCATTACCAGAGGGTAAGCCCTGATTGGTGGTTGGTAGTTCAGATTCGCCCGGAGCCCTGCCTGCTGCATCGGCCTCTTTGCAAATCAGGGCAGCTTTGTCAATCCACTGGCCACCAGTCATGATGTCAGTCTGCAAAAAAATGACCTTAGATGTTGCCACAATGAGCTAAGTCGTTAGTCCAGTTAAATGGGATATACCCTCTGGTTATTTAACATAGCCATGGGGAATGGCCCATTTATAGATGAGCGATCGGCAAAACCTCAATTGAAAAATGCGATCTTCGGGTCATATCGTTTTTGGGACTTCACTATATCGTGTTACAGTATATCCTGATTGCATCATCCGCATCCCCTGGCAAACTGCATGCGGAAAGCCTTTTTACACCTCCACTTCGCGTCTTGGGCATCTTTGACTGCCCTGCGCTTTCTTTTCCAGCGCTTCAACTGTATGGTGGGTGTCGTGTGATACCTGCCAACGCAACTGCAAATCACAGTTGCACCATCCTTTCTCCAGCTCAGAAACAAGCTTTGAATTCAGTTTGTTGGAGGAAACCCGGGTGAGCTCTCACAGCGACATGCTCCATCCATTCACTCGCCATCGTCTGCGCAGCAAACCATCGACCTGGTCCAACGCCTTTGCCTTGGCTATCTTCATCTAGGATAAAGATCGTCAAACCGGACCTGCAGGTGCAGTTGTGCCCGAGATGAACCGGGATTGACTAAAGCAGTGGAGCGCTGCAAAAGAATATGCATAGCAGCGAAAAGATCGCAATGAGCAAGTGATAATATTAAACGGCAAAGGTCTCAAGAATCTTTTGGCATCTGGGCCATCCATCAGCGAAGGACATTTTGTCAAGAAATGGTTATCGTTTAGTTATCGTTTTCGTTATCGTTCAAAGAGGGAAACATTTTTGGGAAAATGGCATGAACCAAGGAAAGTTGGAAAGGATACCTGTTGTCATCGTCACTGCTTGCATGAAAGCGCGGAACTCATCCGAAAGGCTTGAACAATGGCGAGACAAAAAGAGCATCCAAATCCAGCTAGTTACCACATAACAATACGTGATTGGATACAAAACCGTTTGCAGTAATCAGAAATAAAGAAATTGGCCAGGATCAAGTGTGTCAGCATACTTTTGCACATCTTCCGTTGTGTGAGCTGGGCATGGCGTGTACCCCACAACTGAGAGCCTAGATGATCTAGATGCTTCTAGAACAGGTATCCACCATCATGTCATGTACACAACCCCTTCACTTCCCACAATGCTTTCACATATGATATGATTCCCATGTTATCGTTTTGGGACTTCACTATATCGTTTTACATATCAAGATGCATATTTTTACATGACAGATCGCTCGAATACATACCTCCTACACGGAGAGTTTAGCCTCTTGATTGAAGATTTTCCCAGCTAGAAACCTCCATTTGTCAGGGATTTTCCATGGCAATGTTAAATAACCAGAGGGTAACTGATATAACTAGAACCCACTTGCTATATAACCAGTTAGCTAGTTCCGGCATATCACCCATCTGAGTATCTAGTCTTTTGGGAACGGAGGAGAAGGAAACAATGGTGGTAAACACCGTTGGTATACGAGTACTTCAGTTTTTCATCAGCATGTGACACTGCTTAAGTCTCAGTCTCAAGATTACTCGAGACATCTTGAGTTCGGTTACTGATCACACTTGTGAGGGTTTGTATTTAAGGGGTACTTAATGGGTATTTTAATGGGTATGACCTGCAATAAGGAAATTCAATGGATATATGATATACAGATATACACTGTAAACATATAATTATCCTCAAGTAGAGAATATGGAACGTTCAAACATATTATATCAGATTATCATATTCCCATGGATTTGTTCAAATCTCCATATTCTACTCCCAGATGACTACATATTTCTACAAGTTCTATCCAGCAATGAGTCCCAGTCCTCCGCTTTCCCGCGTTCATTTGGATCGAATCCCAGTGACCAAAGTGCCTTGCTGACAGCAGTGGAAGATGAATTGAACTGCCTGGCGTCGTGGCACCCAGTGATGTTCCCCCAAGGTCCTGGAGGTCCTGGAGGTCCTGGATTCCTGGATCGAACATCCATGAGTCAAAACATGTCAAAAAGAAGAACTATGAAGAACTTCCCGTTCATATGAAAAAAAACAGAAACCATGGTCTAGGAGGGGATGAAACCATAGAATTGGGACCATAGAATGTGGCTGTTTAATATGAGTGGGGGATGGGATGATATATATATATGTATATATATATAAATATATTCGCATTTGTTCATAGGGAAAAGCAGTCGTATGAAACCAGCTACAGTTGGACCTTTTTTATGTCCTACATGTCCTTGGAAACCCACCCAGCTCACCCAGCTGCGCGCAAGGCCTTCTGGAACCAATCCAGGTAATGCTTTAAAGACACTTTCTGTCCTTTTTTCAATTCAGACCAGTCTGGCAGTGAAGTCACCACACCTGAGTCTGACAGAAGCAACCAAAAAAAACCACCTCTTGAATCATGTTGAAAGAAGCTTGGTTGAAGGGGTGAATACTTTATGGCATTTAGCCGTCATTGGATTAATATGATAGATGTTGGTTGATGGCTATAGGGGGTTATACTACTCAATGTATCCGGAATTGTGTCATGAATTCGTAGTGATAGATCATGTGTCCTTGATTACCTGCATAGCTGGCACAATTCCTGAACTTTAGTCCCCTGGTTGTTAGCATGACCAAAAGAAGCGGTAGAAATATGGCAACTACAGTACATATTTACATGCAATCATGTAGAAACTATGAAAATTAGCTTCATTTTGAGGCAAAATACACTGAATAATTATATACCATTCTGATTTCAAACTCTTGTGGGTTCGTCCTGGTGAACAACAATTCAAATAACAAGGTCGTAAATGAGGTCGATAGAATTTCCCCAGCACATATTCTGATGCATGTTATTCACTGCAATCTCTTTGCAAATCCGTATGAGCAGTGTTCCAAACCCTCCGTCATTCCATGAAATGCGGGTTGGTTTAGAACGGGATTCACAGTTCAATGAATCTTGACAATGCTCAATATATTGGGTAGTATAACTCCCTACAATCATCAACCAACCAGCATTTATCATACGGCGTATGAAATGATTGTTAAATCCAATCCAATTGCTCATCAATCGACAGTGCTCTGCCGATGCTATCCTCAGAAAAGGGTCCACAAAGAGAGAACACTTATATATTCCACTACAGGATGGGGCCCCCAAGATAGCTAAGTTGCCTTATAAGTGGCTTAACTATGGTTTATAGTATATATATATTGTAGCTATAGTTAATGAGGGTAGTTATAATGGTTTATAAAGCAACTTATAACTGGGGCCCCATCCTGTACCAATCTGTGTGTCGAAATTTGGTATATACCTTCAAGGAAAACACAAAATGTATGCTATAGATGGTGTTTCGCCCCGGTTAGTAAATAGCTATTAACTTTATGTACGTTTCGCAGGGCAAGTAGGAACCACCAATCACCAGGTAATGAGGTAAGCCAAGAATGAACCATCCCCAATTTTGGTTTTATAAGTGGTTTTCCCCTATGACTGGCATCAAAATATTCCCCCGGTTGGCATTGGGTGGATCCCACATTGCCCAGGGGATGAGTTGGAACCCTATACGGATCTATACATGGCCTTTTGAAGGGATGAACATCCAAAAATCCCCAGCGAACTTTTGATGTGAAAGGCATAAACCAGGATCAACTGGTCCATAGCCATTCTTTTTCCTTCTAGTTATAAGTTGGTTTATCGGCCCCATCTACTGTAGATATTCCCCAGTTCTTCAACAGCAGTTCATCAAGCTGGATCATATAGCACTTCTCACACGAACCAGGTGACCTACTTGCTTACTGAGCTGAATCACCAATCACAAAGTAATTATCATATTTTATCAACAGCAAAACAAATCCCAGCCTCATCCCATCCAAACAAAGGGATTGAAACTTGCCCTCCAGTAATTCCAAAATAGCTATTGAAAAATGGCCCATTTATAGTATTCACAGTACCTGTTATATATTATATATAGACTGGTTGGTTTCAACCCCTCTGAAAAATATTAGTCGGTTGGGATGATTCTTCCCAATATATGGAAAAATATAATTCATGTTCCAAACCATCAACCAGCTGTAATATGTATATATATATACCATCTGGTTATTTAACATAGCCATGGAAAATCACCATGCTATTAATAGGTAAACCATCTATAAATGGGCCATGTTCCATGGCTATGTTAAATAACCAGATGGTATATCCCAGCAAATCCCATTAGATCCCATTAAGTCACCATTAAATCCCATTAAATCCCATATATATATATATTAAGGATGGTATCTTCCATGGCTATATTGCATTACCACCTGCCAAGGCATCAAGGCACAGGACCTCTCCGGAAATCCTTCCGGCCCCAGCTGTTCCATCCACTCCACGGCATCACGCTGCAGCACCGTGCGACACGCGCGACACGCGCCGCTAGCGTCCATCAGCGGTTACTGTATGGGTTAAGTCAATTTCTACCTCCAAATCCATGGGTAAAAATGGGGATTTCCATCAATGGGGCATGGAAAATCCATCTATAAATGGATGATTTAGGAGTACCCCATTTCAGGAACCCTCCAAATCATGTCCCAAGGCCCAAAAAAATAGACTAATTCCATCCCCCGTTCATACTCAACACCCCATAATTTATACATATTTATGGTCCCAAATATGTGGGAATGGATCAATACCTATTTTCATACCATTTTTAGGGGAATGAACATCCATAAATCCCAGCTATTTTGATGTGAACAGAAGGGGTACAAGGTTTTGACACACTGCCATGTGGGAATCCTCTACTAAAGGATGGTTTCAGAGGGATGTTTAATATTAGGGGGATGGGATTATTTCTGAAAGGTGCTGCACGAGTTCCTTAGCTAAGTTGGTGAACATTTGTGAATTTCATGGTTTATGGTAGATTTCATTCTATATCTATACTAAATGGGATTCATAGACCAACTGATAACTGCGAAGGGTGCACTGCACCACCATGTGTGGATTTTGAAGTTCCCAGATGTTCTCAGCTTCTGGCAAGGCTAATCTGTTGAAAATATGAGTCCTATCCCGGCTACCTGATTTGAGCCAGCGGCAAGGAACATGTCATGTTGCCCTTAAAGAAAAGCAAGCGTATATCTCAATCCTCAGAATTTTCAGAAATACCTTCAGATTTCTGCTTTCATATCATGAAGTTTTTGGCATTTCAAACAAGACTTGTTTCCAGTTGAAACTATCGTCTTTCAGTTGCAGGCATCTGAGCGGTCGCGAGAAACATATGGTTCTTCATCAACCAACCATTGGGAAAACGGATCTTAAGAAAACCCCTAGATATGTGTGCCCAAAATGGGTGGTTACCACTGAAGCCCGTGGTTGTTTCAATTAAAACATACTCAAATGGCGATGATTTGGGAGTGGTAGGACCCCCCCTCCAAAAATACTCCCCAAAAAGCATCAACAACATGGAAATTTCACCAAATTCTGCATCGTTTTCCTGGTCGCGATCTGGCCAAATTCAATCAGTTGCTCATTAAACCCATTGAACTTCCAATAAGTCCCTACAAAGTGGGGCCCCAGTTCGTTAGCTAAGTTGGTGAACATAACTATAATGACAATAGTGTATGATACGCAAATAACTATATTTAGATGGGGTTATAAACCAACAAACATCACTGGGGGGGCCCCATCCTGTACATCTTATCCCTATGAAACCATCCTCCAACGACGGCCCCGGGCATGTGGCGGGCCTTGTTGCGGCATCGTCTCAAGCACCTCGTGCAAGGTGTTCTGCACGGCCGAGCACAGGGCCTGCTGTCCTGGAGCTGGAAGATTCCAGGGCCCAAGAGTTGGAAGTTCATGGGATTTGTATAATAT